GCAATCTGGTTCCAATTTGTCTGTCCCTGTAACACCATTTCATTCATTCATTGCAATTCCACAGCTTTGTCTGACTGCTTCTATTATACATGCAACAGGTAACATTTACCTAAATATGAACAGATACAACTGCTATTGTTTCTCAATGCTGAGAATGCTTCTGAGAAAATATATTAGAAATTCATTTTTGCTTCATTGGGAAATTTTTGAAATGGTTCAAAATGGTTCAAGTTCCCAACAGCTTGAATAATGATTAATGACTCTTTATCTGATACTTTAAAGTTGATTATTTTTAATGAGGCCAGGTAAATATACTTAAGATAGATATTTTATCCCAGATTTCATATCTTTTCAGTGGTATTTTTTTAAAATTTTTGACCTGGCAAGTATTTCCAAAAACATAATGCTTTGTTTTATGCATTTTATGTGGTTTCACTCCACAATAAATAGATACTATACAGCTCCCAATCAAAAGAGTAGATTTGGCCTCCTCAATCTTCCTTTATGCAAAAAGACTTATTTGTTGACCATTATTAAATTCTTGTTCTTTTCCAGAAAGTAAAATTAATGGGAAAAGGTAGGATTTCAAAGGAAGCGACCTTGGAGGCACTAGATTTCAATCTTTGACACAGCAACCTAAATGTGTCCCCTCAACTGATTCTAGTTGTGCATGTGTAATGGTCAAATCTCCTACCACCACATGCTCCCCAACCCTGGAGGCACATCCTCAGCGCAAGAAGATATTTGCACATCTTCCAGGGAATGGGATCCATTTTACGGAACTGTTCCCTTTTCCTGAGAATTAAACCCTCTTTCACCAACACTTCCTCCACTGTGACACAAAAGGATCCATCATCCACTGACTGAAGCACTGCTGTTAGGCTTCTGGGAATCTCACCACCAACCTCTCTCTCTCTCTCAGTGTTCTCCATCCTGGGTTTCAGAGGAACAAGTTAAAAGCCAGGACCTCAGTACACAAGCATACACCCACAACTCCTGTCTAGCTGCCATACATATGACTGCATTTACTGCAATACACTGCACACTTAATGCAATGCACTGGATTTCCATCTTCATAATTATTTTTATTATGGAGGTAAGGGCTACTACTGGTTCTCTCTTTGCCTTTCTAACCTCTGTCTCTGTTACTTCCTCCTCACTTCCTATTCCTCCTTCAAATTCCACCTCCATGCAACTTTGGGTTTTCCTTCTGAGCTCCAAGCACATCTTAACAAGCACGGCCTGGGGCAGGGCTGGATCTGAGCTCCCTCCCCTCCTTTCCTGGAATACCTGCTGTGCCGCGCTGTGCTGTGCCGCGCTGCCGCCACTGCTGCCGCCGCCGCCGCTGCTGCAGCTATCACCACGCTGGACCTGAGGCACACTGCTGAGCTAGAGGCCAGCTGATGCTGCTCCTGCAGCCACCGCTGGGCCACCCCGGGGATGGAAGGTGCCAGGGCCATGCCAGGGCCATGCCAGGGCTGCTGCCGCCGGTGCAGAGGAGGGCGCCGCCATCTAGCCTCCTGGTGGGTTTCCACACCCTTCTCTGCTCCCCTCCCCACCAGCATCAGTGAAAACAACGCCGGATTGGGCATGGGGCGTGCAGGCGGGCGCCGGCTTAACCTGCCGGATGTGGCCTGGGGCCGGCAGCCAAAGGGTGATGGCCAAAGGGTGGTCGCCGCCGTTTGTGGCCGTGCGGGGCTGGGCTGGTGGGGGGCTAGGTGGCATTTGTATCAGGAGGGGGGTAGACGGGAAGTTTTATACTGTTTTAAAGTTTATTGTATTTCAATTTGTTTTTATGGAGTCGTCCCTGGCCATGTTGATGGTTGAGTTACCTGGGGAGCGCGTGGACGCCGCCATTGGGGTGGTCACAGGCAATGGACATTACAGCGGTGGGAGCTTAACGTATCCGCGTAGAAGAAGGAGGGAGAGATGGCCGACATCTGTCCCTCCTTCTGGTTCTACCCCCATCCAGAGGGTTCCAGGTAGTCTTGCCAACTGCCCCTCGGGCCTGACAGTGCTGCTGCTTAATGCCAGGTCAGTCCACAATAAATCTTCCCTCATCCATGACTTGATTGAGGATGAGGGGGCCGACCTGGCTTGATTGAGGGGATGTTGTCCTCTCTCAAATGTGCCCACCCAGGTATCTGTTTCACCACCGTCCACACCTGGAGGGGAAGGGAGGGGGGTCACTTCAGTTTACCAAGCCTCCATCTCCCTCACAGGACTTCCAGTCCCTTCGAGGCCAGGGCTGGAGTGCCTCTACTTGGTGTTGGGCGACCGAGACAGATTGGGGATTCTGTTGGTGTACCATGCACCATTCTGCCCAACAGACTCCCTGCCTGAGCTGACGGAGATCGTCTCGGACCTGGTGTTGAGGGCCCCTAGGATGTTGGTCCTGGGGGACTTCAATCTCCATGCCGAGACTGGTCTGACCGGGGCGGCTCAGGACTTCAGGGCCTCTATGATGGCCATGGGGCTGTCTCAACATGTCACAGGCCCGACCCATGAACATGGACACACTCTGGACCTGGTTTTCTTGACGGGGCAGGAAGAGGATGGTCTGAGGGTGAGGAATTTATGTCTGACACCCCTGTCATGGTCAGATCAGTTCCTCGTGAGGTTTGTGCTCGAGAGTGGCCTCTCCCTCTGTAAGGGTGTGGACCGGATTGTGTGGGTCCGCCCCGGAGCCGGATGGATCCGGACGGATTCCAGAAGGCCCTGGGGGAGTTTCCAGCTGACAAGAGTGGTGCTCCTGTCGAGGCTCTGGTCGAACTATGGAATGGGGAGATGACTAGGGCTGTTGACACGATTGCTCCTAAGCATCCTCTCCCGCCAGGCAGAGCCCACTCTTCCCCTTGGTATACATCTGAATTGTGGGCGATGAAGCAGGCTGGGAGACGGCTAGAGCATAGGTGGAGGAGATCACGGGATGAATCTGACTGAACACACTTAAGAGCCCATTATCGGGCCTATGCTGTGGTGGTGAGGGTGGCGAGAAAGAAATTCTTCTCCGTTTCCATTGCCTCATCAAAATGCCTTCCGACGGAGCTTTTTCGGGTGGTACAAGGGCTGGTCCGTCCTGGCCCTAAGAAAGATCTGGTTCCACCCTTGAAGGCCCACTGTGACAACTTTGCCAAGCATTTCAGGGAGAAAATCACTCAGATTCGTCACGAGCTAGACTCTACTAGTGATTCAGAGGCTTCTGGGGAGATAGCAATGTCGCCGTCTTGTCCAAAATTAATGGATGAATTTCAGTTATTGCGGCCTGATGATGTGGACAAGGTGCTTGGACGAGTACATCCCACCACTTGCCTATTGGACCCTTGCCCATCTTGGTTAATAAACAAAGCCAAGCACAGGATTGGGACCTGGATCTTGGAAGTGGTTAACGCTTCTCTGAGGGAGGGTCGAGTACCTGCCCCTTTAAAGGAGGCGGTAGTCCGACCAGTCCTGAAGAAAGCATCACTGGATCCAGAGATGGCCACTAATTATAGACCTGTGGCCAACATCCAGTTTCTGGGCAAGGTGTTGGAGTGGGTGGTGGCAGGACAACTCCAGGAACTCTTGGATGAAACTGATTTTCTGGACCCATTTCAGTCCAGCTTCAGACCTGGGTATGACATTGAATCTGCCTTGGTCGCCCTGTACAATGACCCCTGCAGGGAGAAGGACAGGGGGAGTACATCCCTGTTGGTTCTTCTGGACCTCTCAGCGGCTTTCGATACCATCGACCATGTTATCCTTCTGGATAGGCTAGCAGGATTGGGGGTTGGAGGCACTGCTTTGCAGTGGTTCCGCTCCTATCTCAATGGCCAATTCCAGAAGGTGGTGCTGGGGGACTTTGGCTCTGCACCATGGCAGCTATGCCATGGAGTACTGCAGGGATCCATTTTGTTCCCTTTGCTGTTTAACGTCTACATGAAACCGCTGGGAGAGGTCATCAGGAGGTGTGGGCTGCGGAATCATCAGTACGCTGATGATACCCAGCTCTACCTCTTGTTCTCCACCAATCCAGGTGAGGCAGTGGCTGTGCTGAACCAGTGCCTGGCCAAGGTAATGGGCTGGAGGAGGGCCAATAAACTGAAGCTCAATCCAGACAAGACGGAGGTCCTGTTGGTTGGCAGATCGAGCTTTGGGGAAGGTGAATTGAACCTAGTCCTCAATGGGGTTGCACTCCTTCTTAGGGACAAGGTCCGCAGCTTGGGACTGCTCCTCGACCCAGAGCTTTCACTGGAAGCTCAGGTGACAGCGGTGGCGAAAAGCGCTTTCTTTCAGCTTTGGCTGATCCATCAGCTGCGCCCCTACTTGGAGAATGACTGCCTGGCGACAGTGACACACACGTTGGTGACTTCCCAACTTGACTTCTGTAACGTGCTCTATGTGGGGCTGCCCTTGAAGATGGTCCGGATACTTCAATTGGCTCAAAATAGAGCTGCCAGGCTGCTGACGGGGACTGGGCGTTATGTTCACATGGCTCCAGTTTTCCATCAGCTTCACTGGCTTCCCATTGAAGTCCGGGCCCAATTCAAGGTGTTGGTGATGACCTATAAAGCCCTAAAAGGCTTGGGTCCTGGTTACCTGAAGGAGCGCTTACGTCCATATATGCCCGTTTGTCCCTTGAGCTCAGCGGGAGAGGCCCTCCTCCGGGAACACTCCGTGAATGAAATTAGGAGGGTGGCTACTCGGAGGAAGGCTTTCTCTGCGGTGGCGCCCAATCTATGGAATGCGCTCCCCAGAGAGGTCTGCCTGGCGCCGTCGCTATTTGTTTTTTGGCACCAGGTGAAGACCTTTTTATTCAAACGTTATTTTAATTGTTAATATTTATTTATTTTATTCTTTGGCCAGGGCAACTTAATTTATACTGTTAAATTATATTGTTTTATATGATGTTATTTATTTATGTTTGTGAGCTGCCCTGAGGCTTCGGCGAATGGGGTGGCATAGAAGTTCCATAAATAGATAGATAGATAGATAGATAGATAGATAGATAGATAGATAGATAGATAGATAGGGTTTGCTCACCTGGAAAATGAAATTATTTACTAGGAGAAGGTGGGTGGATAATGTATACATCATTGATTATATTTTAACTGTTTATTTAAATCACTTACCCTGAGAAGGGATGGAAGTGTAGACCCCACTGGATGCCTCATCCTGTTGCTACACTCACATGGGAACTGATGCTTTGTCACTGGAGTGAAGCTTAGTCACTGCATTTCCTCATGCTCAGAGAGCTGGTTCCCTCACAGGTTTGCCTCCTTAGACAGCTCTAACTACCTTGGCTCAGCTGATGCTCTGGCCAATATGATTGGAAAGCCTCCTCTGAAAAGCAAGATAAGCTGCAATGAACCACTGTTCTGAATTAGCTTCCAGTGAGCAAGAATATAAGTCAATTGATCCTTCTGGGAGTATAGGCAGTTTGTTTGGTTTGGTTTTTTGGCAGGGAAGAGTGTGACAGTAAGGCTTAAAAGTGTGGATCACATAACCACACACAGGAGACTTTGGCCGTTGCAGGCACGAACCTTGCTGTGCTCTTCCGGTACGATCAATTCTTCTTGTTTTGAACCAACTTGTTTTGAACCAACCAACTTTCTGTCACACTTGTTTCATATTATATACAGTACAGAAGCATATGGAATCAAATGTTTTGTAAGTGCACATTTTAAATACAGATTGGACTGGATTCTGTATGAATTAGACTAGATTACTCTATTCAAATAGGGATGCTGATTGGAATTTGAAGTCATTTCCTTCTTTTTTTAGGAGGGAGTGGAGTCGAATACCATCTGTTTCCTGGTACACAATACTCATGTAGGCATTGACAAGACAAATGTTTAATAACTTCCTTTAAAAAAATCCCCCCCCCCCCCGGGAGATATCCATCACAGAGGCATTTGAGTTTTATCAAAAATTAGAGTTTTATCACAATGCAAATTAGAAATAATTTACATTGTACATAGAAATGATCAAAAATATCCGTGTGCTCACATGTGCACATACACATGTCATTAATTAACCTCATGAGTTTCAAGGTCATGATCAGTAAGCTGAAGATGTTAGTAGATGTTATGGGAAATAAATGGGATCCATTGACTCATGTCATCCTCATTTTCCCCAGTAACATCTGGTCAAAGAAATACATGATGTGATGTCCTTGTGGTTATTTTTTTCACACAGGTCCTGAAGTGTCAAGTTAGGCCTTTAGACTGCTGGATTTTCAACAAAAAGTTCTAAGGGAAAAATCTGTTTTCAGTTATTTTATCACAAGGCCTTGTCCTGAAATCTGCTGCCACAATTCTCTGCTGCAGTTTGCTGGAAAATAAATCAATGAAAGTAGAAGTAATCATCATGTGAAGTTCTCAGGGAGCTCACTATGTCCCCAAGGGACAATTAAAATGTTCCGAATTGCACTGATGAACTGGAATCCTCAATTGGTTTCAAATCCTCACAGCCATTAAGACGTATGGTCAGTCTACACATCATGCTCACTCCATTGAGACTATTTGATACACACCCCCTGAGCAGTAGCTGCTTCACACAATGGCTTTAAAGCATGTAGCTATACCCCATGTACATCGGCCAGCAGATGGAAAGTTCCTATTGTAAGCTGCCATAAGGAGCATCCTGTGGCACTATAGAAAGATGCAAGTCTGTAGGGGTTTGCCATGTGGCCCAATGACTATGCATGAAGCAGTCAACATGTAGAAGCTGTAGGAAGTGTTTCCCTTCTGGTTAGAATAATATGCAGACCCAGAAATTCAGAAATATTCAAATATTAATTGAGAAATGTTCAAATCTCCTTCAACCACATAGGCTGGTTTCAGATAGCAACAAAGTTTGAGCATGGGTTGTAATTAGCATCTTGATTGGTGTTGCAACATAGTTCTTCATGTTGTTGGAATCCAGATTTACTAACAAATCATAGCTTACAGCCATACAACAAACTCAACCCTTGGGTGTTGGCTCTTTATATATCCATGTTCATATTTGAGGGATGCAGGTGGCGCAGTGGTTTAAACTGCTGTGCTGCTGGGCTGTTGATCGAAAGGCTGCTGATTTGAATCTGCACAATGGGGTGAGTTCCCGTTGCTCCATTCCAGCTCCTGTCAGCCTTGCAGTTTGAAAGCATGCAAATGCAAGTAGATACAAAGGTACCATGTTGGTGGGAAGGTAACAGCGTTCTATGCACTTCGGTGTTTAGTCATGCCAGCCACTGTCTGCAGACAAATGCTGGTTCCCTCGGCTAGGAAACAGAGATGAGCACCGCCCCCTAGAGTCAGATGTGACTGGACTTAACGTCAAGGGGAAACCTTTACCTTTACCTTTATTCATATTTATTTATATCCTTCCTTTTTCATTTCAAGGAGCTCATAGAATCATAGAATAACACAGTTGTAAGTGGCCAAGAAAGCTACTGGGTCCAACTCAAAGCAGCTTTCATAAGTCTCCTCCTCTTAATGTTATCTTTACAACAAGAACCCTGAGAGGTATGTTGGACTGAGAACCTGTGACTAGCCCAGAATGACCCAGTTAGATCCATGGCTGAGTGGAGACTAGAACCCAGATCACCTGACTTCCGGTCCCATACTCTTAACCACTACACCATCCTGACTTCCTGAACCCAGCCCAGCTGTGACATATCAGCTCGGTGATATTCTTTCTAAGGCAGGACAGTGACACAACAGTGCTATGTTTGTTCTAAAGAAATGTTATCAAATATACAGGTTCCTAAAACAAATACATTCTTCATTTTTTTTTGAGTATGACAAGATTCTGTCCTTGGTTGTTGCAAGAACTAGTGGCTCCTGATAGAAATGTGTCATCATGTCTCGCCCATGAACTGCAGCCATCCAGGTCATTTCACGAGCATTATCTGTATCCTGTTCGTACAAATAAGCATTTTGGTTTGGAATCAGATTCACACAGTGGATCAACTGTGCTGATGAAAGTAGACTTTCCTGCTTCCTCCTTCCAATGGCACTACCCTCACCTACCTGAAAATACTACACAGATTGTCAATCGACCATTGAATAGATTGAGCTGTGTGAAGTGGGCTCCCCAAATATTACACGAAGGGACTGTCCATGAATAGATTCCTTCCTCTCACAGAAGATCAATTCTTCTTGCCGTAGGCAGGCCCTACATCTAACTCCCTGATGTGATTCTGCATACATAGTAGCTATGCTCAGGAGATCTCTTGCTGAATTAGAATGCTCTGTTTCTGTTCCCTTCCCTCACTTCTGTCCTTCCTAGCAAGATTCAGGAGAAATGGTTCACATGATGCATGTTTAGGAAGTTCCACTGAACACATGGCATAATTTTCATTACATTTGGCACATCAGAGTGACACTCCCAGCAATCTAAATCTTTCATTCAGGATTCTGACCAAAACTGATGTGATTTGCAACATGAATGACAATTTGGAGTGGGGTAGAGAAAACCATCATACTTTATCTTGTTAAATGATGCCAATTATTTTGTTTATATGACTTTTCTTTGGAACTAATTATCATAGCAAACTAATACATGCAGAACATTTGCTGGATATTTGGTTTCATTAGAATGAGAAAAAGCACAATTGCATTATAATATAAATTTGACATGTAGTTTTCTTCCAAGATATAGCCACTTTTTAGCTCTCAACAAATCCCTTAAAAGCTTTAGGGTTCTTAGTATATCAAGAGTCCATTTGGAACAATTTTATGATTTTCTACAGGGAATCTTAATGCAAACTCAACAGAACACTGGAAGAAGTAGTGCTCTGGGCTACATATCTTCTTCAAAGCTTCTTCGCATCAACAAGAGATCCCTGGTGGATCGGAGAAAGCTGTAAATAAAATGTCTCATCTTGCAAATGAGAAGTAAATAAGACAAATCAGTGGATGTTTCTAACCATTGTTTTGCTAAACGAGGAGGATTTCCATGGAATGATACTGTTGGTTGAACTGGTATCCAGATCAATCAGATGGGAGTATATAAGGGGCAGAAAATCTACTGAACACTGGAAAAAATAGCTGTAAATGTAGGGAAAACTTTTGTTTCTGTTTGCCAAAGAAAGAGAAAGAAATACTCCCAATGTAGTTGGTTCTTATCCGTTTCTCATTTCCTTCTATTCCACATAATATGGATAGAGAGGGATTGATAATTTACTTTGAGTGCAATGATTATCACAGTTCCCACTGATTCCAGCAGGTAATGTTAAGTTTGGATTGCATTCTAGATATTTTTGCTGAATGCTGGTTGGCTTCCCAGCTCATCTCATCAGCTGCCCTATCCTTGCCTATTGTCTAGGACAGTCAAGACATTATTATTTGCTTTTGTTAGTGATATATTAAGGAGGAATATGGTCTATACCACTGTTGTTGGCTTGAGTGTTTATAGTGCAGCTATGTAATTTGGAGGTATTTCTCCAGTAGATGTTGCTACCAACCGTTCATCAAAAGTTTCCAAAGAAAAATAACAGAAATGGCAAGGATCTGCGAAAGGGCTTTGAACAGACTAGAGGAAGTCATGGCAGGCTGGATGTAGAATGTCACCACAACACAGCCGTTCCTTCGCTGCTAGTAGTGTATTAACAAGAGCCACAATAGACTCAGACCTTATACCACAGTGCAGCCAAAGTAGCCACCACACCCTCCCATTTTCCCCTTTCTCTCTCTCATTCTTTCAGAAAAAGTTTGACTGCCATGTGCCATAATAGAGACTTGAAATTTAGCTTGATTCCCTTTCCCCATTTTTTGCCACATGGTACAGTTGAGGTGGGGAGGGGTTGTGGCCTATGGCAGCTAAGCAAGAGAGGAAGTGCTCTACAAACCGGCCTATACCTTGGGAAGTTCTAGACCTAGAATATATTGAAGCCTATAACTATTGTGAGTGGCTCACCTCCTCCCTCCTCCTCTCTCAGATGAGATTTTAGAAGCACGATTATTTTATTAAAGCTTGACAGGTCATGGAATTGTATAACTCAATGGAGTGTTCTTGAGATCTGAGAGAAGCATTTGCCCGAGTAAAAAGCCAAAGCCAAACTGAAACTTCCGCTCTCCCTATCCCTTTCAAAAAGCTTCTGATTCCACCTTCGGGGTGGCCCTTGCTGCTTGAGGGCTCAATGACTGAAACAGAGGACACCTTGCAATTGGTCTGTTTGTGTCACTTGATTTGTCCTGACTGGTCTGAGTAACTCTCCCTCCTCACTTCCCACTCCAACTTTGGAAAGACTCCCTCCTTTTCCAAGGCAAGCTGATTTCATGCTCTGCCTGAGAATCTTCCCTATAACCTTGGAACTGCCATGTCCTCTGCTCCCTTCCACCTCCTCTTTGGAACTG